GTGCCGCAGTAACTTGCCATATTTTCTACTTTGATGGGTGAGGATCTTTGGCGGTTGCTGTTCTTTAGCATGGCTGCATGTGTCTTGGGGGGTCATTTCTGTTTATTTAATTATTTATTTGCTTTCATGTTTATTATTATTATTTGTTATTATTATTATTATTATTATTTTTGTACACCTTCATTGCGGTGGGCAGTGGAATTGTAGGGCGCGCGACAGGCATGAGAGGACCCGTAGACACGCTGGAAAAGTTGGATGCGCTCATGGACGCCATGCGGACTGTGGTGTCGAGGATGGAGAGTGAGGGAGCAGCTGACACGCGTGAGATCATGAGACGGGCAGCGGCGCTGCAGTGCACACTGCACTCTCTTTCAAGGGAGGCGACGGCGATTGAGCTCAGGGAGGAGCAGATGCGAAGAGACGGTCTGCGGTGACACGATCTTTTTACCATCCTGCAGAATCCGCCCCGACACGCGGGTTACTGGAGCGGGGCGTGTGCGATGCTTTTCTCTGTCCATTTGGTCTGCATTTTTCCTGTGCGTTCTGAACACCCACACACACGGAAACGTAAAAGAAGGGAGGAGAAGAGAAAGTTTTTTTTTTGTTTTCCTCCCCACTATCGATGTGCTGCTAGCGACCAAAGTGAAAAGAGACTTTTTCTTTCTTTCTTTATTTTATTATTATTTTTTTTTTGGCTTACCTTTAAGAAAAGAGAAAAGGTGAAGACGAGAAGTGAGAAAAAACAAAAAAAAACAAGGGGAAATGAGCACGGAGGATAAAACGCGCGGTTGCTTGACGAAGGCCCAAACTTTAAGGGCCAGCGGCAACTACAAGGAGGCAGTGGCGGCACTTCAGTCCTTATCGGAGCATGGGGTCCAGTGGGGGCCAATGTACATTGCTGCCCTTGACTTACTTGCGGAGCTTTGCTTCAGTCAGGAACAGGGCATTACGGTGGACCGTTTCTTTCCTGCATTCAAATGGAACCGCAACAAACTGCGTGGCTCGCAGCACCTGGAGGAGGGGACCAAACGGATTGTTGAAATTGCGATGAAACACCTCCGGACGGGGTGGCGACGAAGAAGAGGGAGAAACAGACGACATGCTACCACCACACATGCGTGAAGAGGCGTGCTCGCGAGACGGCGTCGCAGTCCATCGCCCATTCCAGGGAGAACACAGAACGTCGTACAGGAGACTTCCAAAACCACGTGATGTAGACGCACACCTC